TGTCCACAGCAACCAGAGTGAAGACCAGTGCAGCTTTTGAGAGAGGTTTTTGTTTTTGTTATTACTGCTTTTTGCAGATCTAGGTTGGAGCCCAGGGCTCTGTGCGCTAGGCATGTGCTCTCCCACGGAGCTGCACCTCCAGGGCCCCCTCTTCTTAAAAAGCATTTTATTATGAAATTTTTCAAGCACACAGAAAAGTAAAAGATTATCTTTAAAAATGAGCACCACTGTGCTTTTTACCTAGATGCAGCAGGACTGGCCACGTTTGCTTGTTTACTGAGCTGAGGAGTTGTTAGTTCCACACAGCAGCCTGTTATGCGTGGAACCTCTGGCATCTCTGGGAAGGGCAGGTCTCCATAACCACTGCATTGTCATCCGACAGCAGGTCCCCGAGTGTCACGGAGACCTGGGCACTGTCAGACTCCCCCACTGCCCTGCAGCCTGCCCCACAGCCTGCTTGCCCCAGTGTGCACCAGAGCCCGGGCCGCTCTTGGCTGTCCTTCAGCCACTCCTTGACAGCCCTCCTTTCTCAGCTGGGCTGTGTTCTGCCGCTCTGCACTGCGCCTGAAGCAGTCGTCCGGCCCAGAGACTCAGGAAGGCCTCCAGGCCTCTGCACGAGGGTCAGGAGAGTCAGGAGGGTCGGGCACCAGCCTCCAGGTGGGCACAGAGGACACCCAGGGGCCTGGATGTGGAGCTCGGCTGTTGACCCAGCTGGCTGCCCACTCCCAGCACCAGGGCACTGAGGTGAGGGAGGGACAGGGTGTGGAGCCAGCCTTTACGGCTAGGGAACAGGAAACAGGCTGGGTCCGTCCAACGAGAGGGGACAGGCAGCGGCCAGGAGAGGGCGCTGGAGAGCAAGGGCAGGAAGCCAGAGGGAGAGACCTTGAGTGCCTGATTGGAAGGAGCTGAGGCTCTCTGGGGTGGGGAAATGGGTATGGCCAGGGGGGTGCGGGTGCCAGTGCCTTGGAGGAAAGAAAGTGACCACGTGCTGGCCCGGAGGTTCCTCGAAGTGGGCCCTGCCGGCGCCGGCCAGCTCTCGCACAACACGGTGTGAGCCCCAGGGCCACAGCCCAGACCTGGCAGCCCCGGGAGCAGGCCCACAAGAACCCGCGGGGTTACCCAGGGCCGGGCCGGGCCCCATCAAAACTTGAGGTCAGAAAAAGCAGAAGTGTGCCCTGCTTTCTACCGTCTCTGGGGCGTGGGAACTCAGCAGCCAGTCAGGACAGGGCAGGACGCCGGTCACACAGCTGCAGGACTGCGGTCCGGAGACGCCAGCGTTGCCCAGAGAGAGGCCATGGCGGGGTCTCCCAGGCCCTTCCGGGCTCCTGCTCCTGCTGTTTGGCTTGTGCCTCAGACCCATATGTCCCGGTCATGAGGTCATGAGCCCCCCAGCAGGGTGAGGATGCAGGGGCCGGGCGGGGCGGTGCTGCTGTGAACTCCATGCCCCTCCCTCCGGTATTCTCAGAGGTGCGATGCTGTGCTGGAGGAGACCACGACCAAGCTGAGGACCACTGTGGTTGCCACCTCTCTGCCTGGGGGAGGGGAGGTGGGGCTGCACGGGTCGCTGTCCCCTGGGGCTGCATGCTGGGCCTGGCCTGGGGTCTGGGCTCCCAAAGGGAACATGGGGGACTGGGCCGGGCAGAGAAGAGCAGAGGCTGCAGCACACTGCCCTCCCCAAGCGCCCCAGGCCCCAACTGTGCCCCAGGCCTGGCTGTACTGTGTTCTTATCCCGAGTGCAAAGGGGCACAGCGGAGACCGTGGGGGGAGGAGCCCGAAAGGAGAGGAAGCCAGGTGGCTGAGGAGGGCGCACCCTGGGAGGGGCGGATGAGATGGTCCCCAGCGCTCCGAGGAGCCAGCGCCCACCCTTCCGCCGATGTCGTGGCAGCAGTGTGTGGCTGTGGACAGGGACCAGGGTGTGTCGGGTCCTGGGGACCAGGTCTGCAGGACACAGACCAACTGGCAGTCGGGTGGCCAGACAGTGGTACAGCCAGAGCCCTCCTGTCCACGAGGCTGGCAGGTTGGGGTGCTGCTCCCCAACATCTGCCCAGACCCCTTCCTCTTTGGGAACGTTCCTCCCCAAGAGCTTCCTGTCTCCCTTCCATCCTCCCAGAGTCGGAGTTGACAGCCCCTCCTGGTCCTGTTTGTGCCCCAGGCCAACCAGGCCCAGCCGCTGTCCGGGTAGCACCCCCACTGCCCTGAGTTGAGGTGCCACCCTCAGTGCGCAGGCTATGCCTGGCCGGGGACCTCGTGTGGCCCTGGGGGTGGGGACTCACAAAAGCAGCAGCCCGGGGCCTGCCGCCGCTTGCGCTGTCTCCGCAGCACTTCCGCAGCCCTGACAGGAAATGCTGCAGTCTCAGCCTCCGCCATCTCCGGCAACTTCTTGTTTCCTTGTTGCCCTGTGGCAGCCCTGGGGTTGTGCCCCCTGGCTCCATCCCTAGAACTTTCCCAGGGCCCAGCCTGGCAGCTCAGAGGGGACAGGATGGTGGACGTGATTGCTAGACTGACGAGGAGGCAGAGCCGGGCTTTGCGGGTTCAGGTAGGGAGGGAGGCTCGGCTCCAGGGGCCTGTGGGTGCCCCCCTGTGAGGAGCTTGCAAGCGGGGCTCTTCTCTTCTGCCTCTTTCCTCCTCGGAGGCCGGCTGGGATGCCAAGGTCTGAAGCTCGGGCCTGGGGACTGGGGCCCAGGGGAGCATGGCTGTCAGAAACGTGGGCCCACAGCACTGTAAGCCAGGGTCCCTCTTCACCCTGTCAGTCCTCAGGTCTGAGGGGAGCTACTTCCTTTTTTGAGCTCTGTTCTGTGTCCCAGGCTGGGACTGAGGCTGTCAGAACTCTGTTGACAGGCTGGCTGGGCCTGGGTCTCCGGGACAGGTCACCTCTGCTGCAGCCTCTGTGGGAAAGGCATGCGCCCTGCCCCTGAGCTCTAGTGAGGTCCTCGCTCCTGCCCGTCCGGGCCTTCGGGTGCTTCTCTCAGAGGCTGTCTGCCCCCACCCCGTGTGCTGCACCCCTCTCTTCCCTGTGACAGCTCTGTCACACCAGGGACCTAAGCTTCTCCCTCCCAAACCATCTCCGTACCTGTTGGTGTACCTGTGCACGGCCGGGCCCTGTGAGCTGCCAGGCAGAGTCCCCACTCCCCACCCCACAGCCCCGCACAGGACAGGCCCGGAGTCCAGCTGGGGCAAGAGGCATGGGCAGCTTTTCACCCTCCTTTCCCCAGCCTCCATCTGTCCTCCCAGGGGTCTCCTGGGTTCTGGGGCTCAAACCCTCATTCTCAGAAGTTCCTGCTCAGAGCTCTCTGGAGTGGAGGGGTGTGTGTTTGTGTTGCTCCTTGGACTGGGGACTCTGGTTTTAAAGCAGTGTTTTGGGCAGGTCTGCACTGGGCTGCATCTTACTCTCGAGACTCCTGCCTTTGAGGTGAGCAGGTAGGTGGATGTCTGGTCCACTAACTGACCTCCTTGAGCTTGGTGCTGGCAGGCTAGACTTCAGTGCCCTGAGAGATGGCTGTGAGCTAAGAGCAGGGTAGAGCAGGACTTGGGGGGGGCAAGGAATGAGGAGACAGCTGGGGAGGTAGGAGGTGCCTCTGTTGGAGGCTGGGACAGCCAGCTGTGCGGGAGATACACAGTGCCGTGTGAGGCTCGGAGTGGCAGGGAGAAGTGAGCAGAGGGTCCCAGAGCTGAAGGAGACGGGCAGGAAGTGGTAGATCCTGCAGCTCCTGGGGACCCTGCCCTGTCTAAACCCTCAGCCTCTTCCTCCCTGACAGTGTCTGCCTTCCTGCCTGGCAGTGATGGGCACCCACTCTCACCCCATCCACACAGGTGTGCACTCGAGGGTTGGCATGGCAGGGTGGGGATCTGCCCACTCACCCCGTTGAGTTCCCGTGCCAGGCCAGGTGCCTGGCACGGGGCAGAGCAGCCAGCCCTTGGATGAATGACTAGATGCCCACCAGGGGCCCAGGCAGAGGCCACGCTGAGCAGGGCATGCTTCCCCTCTCCGAGGTGTCACCATCAACAGAAGAATTTGTGAAGCTTTTAAGTTTTACTGTACAAAATTTAGAGGCTACAAAAAGTTTAAAGGAAACCATCACACCTCTGACTGGAGCTGCTGCTCAATGCAGGAGCTTGCCTGGCACGTGTGGGGCCGCAAATTCAATCCCAGCACCACAAAAAACAAAACCAAGCGCACAGAATTGGACCGCTGCTGTTCTTCCGTTTTGAACTCTGTTTTTGTATTCGGCATTATGTGTTCGTAGGAAACTGTGTTCATCTTCCGTGCTGTTCGCGCTGGGGTTTAATCACGGGTGATCTGTGGGAGGCGGTGGGTTTCGTGGGGTGGGCGTGGGGCTCTGGAAGCCGCACCTGAGCTGAGTACTGGGGAAGAGGCGCCAGGCAGATGCGAAGGGCGGAGCAAGGGGAGTAGGCCGGGCCACGCCCTCCCTCGGGGCGCAGCACCGCAGGTGGGGACCTCCAGCAACTCAGAGCCACTGAAGTGTAAAGTTCACCTCGAGGGACAGGGCGTGGCAGGAAGGGAGGGACAAGACGGGACCGGACTCTGCCTTGTGGAGGTGTGAATCAGACCTCGCTGGGGGGCGTGGATACGGGGTGACAGGGGCCCCAGCGCCGGCTTCCTCTTCACTCGCACAGCTGTCCATGCTGACACCTGCAAAGCTCACAGGGGAAAGTGCCAGCGCCATCAGAAGGTTCAGGCCCCAGGGATGAGCTCTGGGGTAGTGGGTGCAGTAGGGACGGGAGTGGGAACCAGAGGGCCATCCCGCCGTCAGTCCTGCCCACCGTCCCACAGTTGTGAGACGGGTCGCGCCGTTAATGGATAATCAGAGGTCAGTCAGTACTCCCGGCCGCTTCGAGGAACCGCTCCTCCGCCCCGCTCCCCCACCGCCTTCCCGGCCTGGGCGGGACGGCCGCTGAGGCCAGGAGGCCGAGGCAGGCAGGTGAGGGCGGCGCCGGCCCGTGGCCCCTCGACGAATACCCGTCCCTGTCCCTGCCCGCAGGTGGACGCGCCCTCCGAGCCCGTGTACGTGAACGTGGGGCGGCCCCCGGCCCCGTCGCCACGCGCGCCCGCCGCCCCCCGGCCCGACCCCGCGTGGGAGGCGTGGGAGGAGCACACGGACGCGGACAGCGGGCGCCGCTACTACTACAACCGCGACACCGGCGCCACCACGTGGGAGCCGCCGGGCGAGGCCAGCCCGGCCGCCTCCCCCGCCTCGGCGGGCAGCCGTGAGAGCCTGGAGAGCGAGTGGGACCAGTACTGGGATGAGGACAGCCGCAGGGTATTCTTCTACAACCCGCTGACGGGCGAGACGGCCTGGGAGGACGCGGCGGGCGACGAGGACGAAGACGCGCCCGGGGACGCGCCGGACATGCATCAGGGGCCGAGCCCCGGCAGCCCCGCGGGTCGGCGGGTGAGGGGGCGGGGCGGTGGGCGGGG